GAGGACTAAGCATTGGCAAATATACTAAGACATTTGACATCTAGGGAATAGGAGACGGGGGCGAGGGGGCGCCTAGAACATCGAGGTACTGACCCTAAAAAGCTGGGTAAAAAGCAATGTTGCATATGCTGTCAGCTCTCCTTCGGAATCGTCATGTAGTTCAGCAACGAGCGAGATCCATGTAGCATCCACCTGAAAGAAAAAAGAATAATTTTTACCTAGAGAAAGAGATACCTGACTCACCTTTCCATCAAGATGATGTGGGCATTGTATGTACAGAGGAGATGTTGGTGTAGTTTTGGAAGAGTAGAATTCTCCTAAAGATGCTCTCGAGCGGCAGCAGAACGATGACCCATCAAGTGACTCCTCATCGACTCCATTCAAGCGGTCGGTCGGCCTAATTTCTTTCATGCAAAAAAGTCTAGGTCACACTAGCTTTTACCTTTTCTCCAACACTTCTCTAGATAACGCAGATGGCGGACTCAACCTATCCTGCTTCTGATCTGCACCCGTCTGAGACGAGACTTCACCAAATCCATCATCACCCTCTGCAAATCGCAAAATTAAAGTCAAGGAAACTCCCTAGAAGTTCTACCATCTTCCTCTTCATCAACTTCTGAAGGACATGGTGTCCGCTCCGAAGAGATAGAAGTTCGAGACAACCGAGATGTGGACGCTCCTCCTCCTTCCGAATTTGCTTGAGCACTTTCAGAATCCTTCAAAATCACGAGTTTATTTTAAAAAAATAAGTTTGTGGCTACAAACCTCATCCTCGTCAACATCAGCATCGTCATCATGATGGGGTTCGTCACCTCCAATGGATCTTGGACGCATGGTAGACAGCCATCCGAAACAACTATCGGCTGTTTCCGATACACTATCATGTTCGGCTTCCAAGAAATCAAACTCTTTGAAGACTCTCGGGAAGGAGTCAGTGATGCTTGCCGACGGCTCTGGCAGCGATGTTGTAGACGCGACCTCCTGACAAGAAAATCACATCCTAGATGTTTTGAAATCATTTTTCGCCAACAAAAACCTGTGAAGAAGTGCATATTCTCTCCGTTGACGATGCAGTGCTACCCAACTCGCTTTGCGAAAACACCACGGAAACAGCAGATGGTAATCCGACCCGAAGTCCTGAGGCTGAAAGCAAGCCCACAAGCCGGTCTCGAACGCGTATCTAGAGATGGTCATTCAAAGCATGAGATAAGTCAGGTAATTCTATATGCTTACATGCGGCGGAGCAGTTTTCTTGACGCTTCCAATAGTGCTGGTCAGTGTTGAGTCAAGGGTAGAAGTGTTCTTTCTCGGTGATTGTGGACTTTGCTTGGATCCATTGGCGGCAGATACCAGAGATAAATCTAGTTCGAAACCAGATGTCACAGCACTTCCC